ATGATGCCATGTTCTGTGAAAGACTCTGGAAATAGCCGCCGCATTCAGCTTACATGAAACAAATTCTCCGAGAATTTACTCCACAAAAACAACAGTCTCAAAGGAATAGGTAGCTGCTTTTGTTTTGCTAACTATAAATTGAGATTAAGGGAAAAAAAAAAATGTCCAAGAGATCAAGGCTCGATACACCCCAAAGGCCTTACAAACTAGGTGCTTGAGAGGATACGACATACTAAAGATAAAGAACACGAATACAAAATTTGATATTATAACTTTCAATTTTTGGTAATACACTAAATCTTAGACGACCCATGATTTGGGTATATCAATCCCAAACGGAGTGGGTTGACGATCTAAATCACCAAAATGTATGATCTCAAATTGTATATGTAACGTAAATATAAAATATATATTAATTAACTACATATATATAGATTTATAATTAAATATTATTTTAGATAATAAAAATTGAGAACAAATGTACAATAAATAGTAACTGACTTAAGTTTATGGATGTTTTATGATATATAATATTGTATCATAATGAAAACGATCTTGATAAAAGTCCTAAAATAAATTTCAACTCAAAATACCGTACTAACTAATAGCTAAGCTTACCCCATCGAAATGTGTACCATATCAAATCGACTCACGGTTCAACTAACATTTACGACCTATTTACATATATCCAACAATTTAAGAAAAAACAAAAACACGGCGAAGAAAGACAAGCAATCTATAGGTATAGAAAAAGCAAAAGCATACCACTGTGCAAGCCCAGAAAGGTGAAATTATCAGTACAATCGGTACAGAACAATATCCGAATATATGCATACAATTGTTTTTTTGTTTGTTTGTTTTGGGCCTTCACAAAGAGGGGGATCACTGAGAACTCAGAAATTTGATGCAAACAAGATCGTGAAAGAATCAAGACGCAGATCCCCAAAAAATGAAAAAGAAAAAAAAAAGTGAGTTTTTGTAAGAAGACACTTACATTCAGAGGGTAGTTGAGATCTGGAGAGAATGACAGAAGTATCTCTGAGAGTTTCTGAGAAGAACCCACCTTCTGGGTGGGGCTTCAGATTCAACTTCGCAACAATCTCTGAAGTAGGAACTGAGGTAGAAGCCATCTTGTTCTTAATCAAATCAAACCAGAGCAAGTGTAGAGGATAGCGCACACCTACACCTTCTTGACTCTTGAAGCTCGGTTGTTGGTATGGTACCCCATTGGCAAAAAGACAGATGGCGTAATATCATCTAAAGAGTTCTAGTCTTGGCGTTGGTGGACCAACCACCCCCTCTCTCTCTCTCTCTCTCTCTCTCTCTCTCTCATTATATTCATTTTCTGATTTTGTTGCCTCCAATGGTGGTTTATTGATATCGATTATCCGATAAATAAATTTGAGAAATAAAATTTTTTCTTTTTTTCCGTGATTTTGTTGTCTCCAGATATGACAAATCAGTCAATTGAGATCAATTCAAATCCAATTATTAAATTTTGTTTCATATTTTTTTTCATGATCCGAATGTTATACTTGGATTCAGATATACATCAAATCCAATTCTAAATATTATACCCAATTTGAATAACCAAGTAGAGCCAATTCCTTATCAGGGTCAGATTCATATTTTTAAGTTGATTTTTTTTTTAAGATTCATATTTTAAGTTAATTTTTTTTTTAAGCGTAATGTTAGATGAACTTAAAAATTAGATTCGATAATCTCAACCATTGAATAGATAGTGGATCCCAATAAATATTGGGACTCACAGTGAAATAAATGATTGAGATTATCAAGTCTAATTTTTAAGTCCATGTAACATCGCTCTTTTTTTTAAATGTAATTGCAAGCTGGTTCATCTCTTACCTTTCCCATTTTTGGTAGGAAAGGAAAGCGATTGCACTACTCAGAATTCTGAGTTACAAAACCCACAAGTTTTTCAGCAACATGCAATAGAAACGTCTGTTCCAATTCGGATCTTGTTTGACTGAATTTATGAAAAATTTAGAGCCTTATGATTTTGAACCGCAAAACAATCAGGCAAGTATCCTTCATGTCGAAATGCTTCAGATGGTAATGCCACTGATCTTTAACCCTGAAAAACTCTCTTTCATCAATCCTTGCAAAGAACCTCCAACCCCAGCACCAACAGCGTCTGCCAAATTCGTAGCCTGCAATTTTTTCACCTCTCAAAGTATTTACGGTTATTAAGAACACCTATCTTCCAACAGGATAAAAGGAAACACAAACTCGTATCAGTACGAACTATAAACTAGAGACACTACCTCTTGGATGGTCTTTTTCAAATCAAAAGCATCTTCAACTCGCGCATCCAAGAAAGCCCATGTGACACGGAAATCTGTCAGACTCGGGCATGACAATGATGAATTATGTGTGGGCATTTCCACTCTGCAGATACCATGATTGAAGCACATTCAGGAAGGAATGGGGAAAAGAAGTGGTATGTAATGGGTTCTCCTCTTTTGGCTGCACTTATTCCAGCATTGCATTACAATGTGATGTCACATACACAATGCATGGCACTAGCAACCAAAAGAAGGGGGAGAGAGAGAGAAGGGGAGGGGGTACAAATGTATGAAACAACAGACACCAGGCGAAAAACAAAAAACAGAGGATTAAAGGCAGAAAAATCGTCAAACCTGGGGAACTACCAGTCAGCATGTACAAAATCAGTTGCCGAGTATATTCTGCCAAGGACAGTGCCCTTCACATCCCAATCAACATCAGTGGACTCATCACCAGCAGCATGCCAGATCTCATGAACCAGCAAGGCCCGCTGCTTAAACCTTGTTGGTAAATGCGAAAGAAATTATGAAAGAGATTCTCAGGTTTCAGCTCAGTATATATATAAGCAATCAATCACACGAAAGGACAAGTAATGCAGCAAATAGTACCTGGATGCTAAGATCGTGAGGCAACTTTGATATGTAGGGAACTTGCATTTCCAAGCGAGTTTTAACAAGTTTTGCAATGCGCTTACTGGTATCAAGCTTCTTAAATCCTCTCCGGAGTCAATTATACCAATAAGCATTTGTAAACACTCATCATGACAAACTGGACAGGAAAATCAAAAGCAAATGATTGGTAGAACTGGGGTCAGATAAAACGACAGGTACTTAAACAATTTCAATAAAACAAATGAATGGATAAATGAATAAGGGCAAGAAAAAGAGTATGCACTAGGCCAAACCAACTGTATCACATGTAATGCAGTGCTAAGAGCATTATCGAATGACTAACAATAACCCATGCGTGAAGACACCGCACAACACAAAAAATCGAACACTCAAACAACCGAGCATTGGTTTTTTGAAGTGCTTATTTTGTGTATTGCGTGTCATGATCTGCACTGTGTACTTCGTAGAATCTGTTGTTTGTAATAAACAGCAAGCAAATACTATCAGATTAAATGCACAAAATCAAAGTGGCTCGCCGCCTAGCATCTTTACAAGAGGGAAGGAGCCAGTTTTAGTAAGAAATCCCTCAACAAAATTGGACAAAACTTAGTAAATTCAATGCACACATTGCCACTAATTCTCTTTAATTGGTGTCAATATTATCTAAATTTACCTATTATTAACCTTCGTATCCCAAACCCAAGAATCCGTTGATAACATCAATCATTTTCTTCAAACTTCAAAATTCCGCACTCTAGAGTATCACATGTTGCTAACCCACAAACAAAATAGAACCAAACCTTGATGTCCAAAATCATACATTCAACATTTTTTTTTTATCCCAGACGACCAACAAACAAAATAGAAAAAATAAACAAAAAAAATTGAACCTTTTACACATTCAATGCCCTTACATTTAACAGAAGTGAGTGGACCTTTTATCCAAAATTACACATGTAACATACTCTTCATCCAAGTGTCAAAACCCACAAATGAACCTTACACTGTGTAGTAGAGTGTGTGTGTGCCTCTGAGAGAGAGAGAGAGAGAGAGCAGCCCTACAATAATTGACACTATGAGAAAATGGCTAAAACACGAACTAATAAGCATAATTAAGTATATTCATCCATTCTATTAAAACCAAATACTCCCAAAAGTCAGGCCATAAAATCAAAGATCAAACTAAAAATACTTCATTTCGACATTCACTTCGAAGACTCTCAGCGTCATTTTATAATACCATTGTCACTCATCCTTTTTTCTTCTTCTTTTTACAATCTTTCATGTTCATAACAATAAAAGCAATGCTGCTCTCTGATTCATCCAAAATGTCTTCATTTCGGCTGGTGCTACACAATCATAACATAACTCTCTTGGCGATATTCAAGCTCAGGTTCTCGTTGGCCTCTCCATCAATGTCGTCGTCGTCGTCCAATGGATATATAAAAAATAGCTCAATAATGGCTATCGAAGTTATCAAGGAACTTGACTATGTTCAGAGTTTAGTGAATTGCACTCTTGTCACAAATTGACTGGATACATATTGGACAGAAAAACATAAATACCGGAGAAAAAAACTTACATGTAGCCAAATAACACCAAAAGAGAAATCCAATTTTGAACCAACCTGGTAGAGATCTGTCTGACATAGAATCATTGCTGGCCACAAATTTTCGAATTTCTTCATCTTGTACAAATTACAAACTGCATCCACCTACAAAACACATAAGGTACACAACAATTAGAAGTAAGCATTTTAAAATTTCAGAAATACTCTGGAGTCCACTAATCCTACAGTCAGCTTGACATTATTGGCGGAAGAGGATCAAATTCACCTAAAATTACATTCATGACAAGGAAAGATAATAGAAATCTTGGATAAACCACAATGCGGAGATTGGAGATGCAAGCTATTGTAGCAAATGCAGTTTAAAGAAACTACACCCAGTTCCCAATTCAATCAGAGATCGACTTTCGCATAGACAGACACAAAATATTGAGCAGAGTAATAGAAACAGGAGGTGTACGGACCACATGACAAAGAGAGGCGCTGAGTACGCGAACTTGTACTAAGCTTTAGGCCCTCTTCCTTTCGAGGACTGGCTCTGATAGCCACGAGCCCTTTCTTCTTCTGTCCATGAGGATGAGGATGCAGAATCGGACTGATTAGGGCTTTGTCTAAGGAACGCCTCAGATGTTGCCGAAGCTGAAAACCGAGGTGGGTTCACTACAAGGGCTCGAATGTTGGAGGTTTGGGAAGGCTCGTTACGGTACAAGGACGGATAGCCGAGCAATCGCATCGCCGCCGATCGGTACATGGCTGACGAAACTGTTCTATTCATATTTTTCCCCCCATATTTGGAGATCCAATCAGTACCGACTTTTGGTCCACCCGTCATGTGCTAGGGCCAACGAACCCTTGTCTCGTTGTTTAGAAAATTAAGGGTAAAATGACGGCGATTTTTAGTTGGAGATAAGCAAATAGCAGGTTTAATTTGACAACTTAATTCGATGATTTAATTTAATGCAGTTAGATTATTTTTAACTATCACTCAAATTTAAGTAAAAAATTTGATTTGGCATTTAATAAAATAAATAAAGTTTTTATATCTCTCCACAAATAAATAACTTTTAAAAATTTAATATGAATACAACACCACTGGGAATAAAAAGAAACAGGAAAAAAAAAACAAAATCACTCTAGAATTCTAATATTACTCAAATACTTTATTTTTTTTAATACATTCAGATAAAAAAAAGATAGTTACTTGATTTAAAATTTAAGTCTCTGGTCCAGAATAATTTTTTCTTGATTTAATATAGATTTGAGTCGAAGGTTGGAGAAAATTTTTAAATTATTAAGAATTAAATTTAAATTTGAATCATGGTTAGAAATGCTCTTATTAAATTAGAAGTGATATTTATTTAACATTAAAATTCATAAAATATTAAATTAAATCTTTAATTAGGTTTTTAAATTAAGTCCTTGTAACATTACACATTCACCCCAAAAAAAACTCATAAAATGAAGGAAAAATTTCATTCACACCCCCTTTATTTAGGCATAAATTCAAAAACACCCCTATCCATTCTAAATCTTCACTACACTTCCTTCTGGTTTACACTTTAAATCAAAGACACACCCACCCTACACCGTAAAGTTTAACACCCACCCTACACCATAAAGTTTAACAGTGATGATAAATAAATGAACGGTTTGTCTTTAATTTTTTAAAAAATATCCAAACTACCCCTTCTTATATAAAAGTACTATATACACCTCAACCCCTTGGCTGAAAGTGTTTAGCTGGAACAAGGTGAACGTGAGATTGGTTGTGTGTTGCTCTCCATACTGATCACTGATTGTTCACTACAAAAATTGGTAAATATTTTTTGTCTTACAGATTTGTAAATATTTTGTATGCAATTTTTTTTTTATTTTTTTCATTCAGTTAATTTTTCAATTTTTAAATGCAGATATTTTAAATTTTTCCATGCAATTTTTTTGTAATATTTGTTCATGCATTTTTTTACTCAATATTTTTTTCATGCAGATAGTTTTAAATTTTTTTATTTTGTTCAATCAATTTTTTTTTCGAGCAATTTTTATTTTTAAGTTTTTCATGCAATTTTTATTTTTTATTTTTTGATATTTAAATTTCAGTATATTGTGATGTATTATTGTAGAATTCATGTTTTCTTCAACTGTTGGTGGAGGTAGAGACATAGGAGAGGAGGAGTTTGACCTAAGATATAGTTATAAACCATGTTTTTGTAAAAAATAAGTTATAATTAAGATAGTGGAATCTGATAAGCCTAGTAAAGGAAGATTGTATTACAATTGTGAAAAAGGGTCCTGCAAATTTTTTGCATAGTGTCATCCGATATCTATTGTACCACTGATCGCTCAACATGAAGGGTATGAAATGGGACATCACAACAAGGACAAATGTTGAATTAAACAAGTTGGTTGCAAGAGTGAAGTCAATAGAGGATACCCTACAATGCATGAAAAAGATGATGACAGTTGTAATTGTGATTTTAGTGTTACAACTTTTAGTTGGAATGAAGTAGTTGTAGACTTACGTTTTTTGTTGTGCAAATCTGAAGTTGTTGTTGTGCTGGTGTGGCTGGTTGTTCAAATATGATGTTTTTGTTCTATGTAAGTTCTATGTAATATGACTGGTTGTTCTATGTAAATTCTATGTAATATCACTGTTAAGCATTGCAATTCTATGAATGATTGGTTACCTCCATTTCCATACATTCATAATAGTTACAATATTTAGCATCCATGTGCAATCACAAACTATTATGTTGTGACATTTGTAGGTATTCTGCACAAAAATTTACAAGTTAAACCATTTGTTTTACACAAAAGTCCTACTCTATTCTTGTGTTAAACTAACTATATTCAAGTATTCATTACCAACAACAAAAAACAATCAAAAAAGTCATTCATCTGCCTTATCCTCTTCCTACTCATCTACCCTAAACTCTTCATCTATGGTATCATGCAGTTCTCCATACTCTTCATCTTCAGATCTAATTCCATTTACATCATCAGATTCAAAATCAACATCATCTCTATATTCAATTTCTTCATTCACTTGATTCTCCACACTGGCGAGACTCTCCACATGCTCTACATTGCCTAGACTCTCCACATTGCCCTGATTCTCCAAACTGCTCATATGATCCAAACTACCCACATTCTCCACACTGTTTCTATTAACAACAATGTTTACAATTTCTTGTGAAATAACATGTATGTTTATGTGTTTTCTATTATTGTGCCTACTAAACATCTCTATTACATCTTCGTCATTATCTCGTAACATTCTGTCATTTGAACTAGGCAATTCACAATATATTTTGAACACTAAGGTCATTGTTGATGAACACAATATAAATACATCTGATAATAGATGCACATGACAATATTTATCTGGGTCAACGTTCTGTGTCATGTACTGTTGCCCATCAAAGTGTATGAACAAGTCAATCAACTTAGCAGCCATTTCTACAACTATTTCAAACATAATAGCACATTTAGGAAATGAAGAAAATCATCTATGTAGCATGTTTGAAACAAGAAGGATTTTTAGAAAACATAAAAAATTGAAGCACTAATTTCAACACTGTCATAAGCCCAAATATCTATGGATAATGCATTAGAAAACCCTGAACTATGAGGATAAACAATGAACAAAACACCCAAATCCATAAAATAAATATAAACCCTAGATACGAAAAACGTAAAAAAAAAAAAATCCAAGTCTGTCAAAACCCTTACTCAATATCTATGGAGAATGCATTAGAAAACCTTGAACTATGTTCAGTATGAGGATAAAAGATGAACAAAACCCCCAAATTCGTAAAATATAAACCCTAAATACAAAAAAAGTAAAATAAAAAAATATGAACTATATTCAAACCCTTACTCAACTATGTTTTCTGTCACTAACCTTGAAATATGTTCAGATAATAAAGATGAACAAAACCCCCCAAATCCATAAAAGATGAACAAAACCCTAGATACAAAAATACGTAAAAAAACAAAAAAAAATCGATACATACCACAGAATTTTCGATAGTAACTCTTCAAATCATTCGATGTTTGGAATCGCAAAGATCTTCCAAGCCTTCAGCAATTTTCTTCCCCTTTTCTTCCCCCCCTCTCTCTTTCTTTCTCTGTTCGTGCACTAGATCAAACCATTAACCATGGAATGCACAGAGACACTTGGGCTGAGTTAGGTTTAATAAATAGGTGGGATTAACTAAACATAACCATAGTTAGTAGTATAGGTTAAATACGTATACATACATATTACATATAAAATATTGAGGGTTATTTTTATAAATTAACCCTAACTATTAACGCCGTTACCAGACAATGCCTGACAGGGGGTGGCAGTGAAGATTTAGAATGGGTAAGGGGTGTCTTTGAATTTATGCCTAATTAGAGGGGGTGTGAATGAAATTTTCCCTAAAATGAAAGAAGAAGAAGGTAGGGATAAAAGGAAAAAAAACCTGATTAACTAGTTGCATAAAAAGCTTTGGAATTTGGGTGTCCATTTTTGTCAAAACATAAATGGTTTTATAAGTTAATATTTATCATAAATAATAAAATAAATTTTTTAAATTTTTTTATTTATTAGTTGGAGCACAAGTATATTGCACGTGAATAATTTTCAAAGAATTAGTATGTTATTTTGAAAATTTTGCAATGATACTACATTTCTTAGTTGTTGACAATAAACATATGAAATCCAATTAAAAATGACATTATCACATTATTAAATCAAAAGCATTTGACATGTATTTATACATGATGAGCCCAAATCTAATTGAGTTCAAGACCAATTCTTGGATAAGCCCAAATCAATTACAAAACAGGTCAAGCCCAACTCATAGATTCAATCCAATTCAAATTCAAAAAACTCAAGAAAATCCGTGCATGTGAGGGGTAATTACTAAGATAACTATTACTAGAAGATCAAGACTATTTTTAATTGTATATATCTCTTCACACCATCGCCATCGCCTCAACTAAGGGTATGTGCTTATAAATTGTAAACCCTCTATACATGAGGGACACAGAGCAATGCATTTTTTAAACAACTATCTCTCTCTATGTCTTTACACATAAAACTTACTTTTGCTCCATCTCTCTCTCTCCCACCTCCCCTACTTTATCAACAAAGTTCTCCGGCCGCTGTCACCTTTAAAGTGGAGTAGGTCATTCTGATCGAACGACTCTATATTTGTGTGTCGCATGTATTAATCTCACCTATATATTTATTGCATTTATTATCTAATGGTACAAAAATTTACTTTTGTATATCATCAATCCAGATTCTTAATTGTTGATAATGAACTTGGAAAAGATTCTTGCCATTAATATGTTCGTTTATCGTTATTTTTTATTTTTTTTGGTTTCATAAGTCTCCACCTCTCTTTCCAAGAACTAGGCCTTTTTTGGAGTCAAGTGTGGGCTTCGATTAGTGATGAACTATGGAGGTATTGCGTCCTTATAATGTATTTGTTACATTTCATGAAGTAAAAAAAAAACTATACATGTTATTCTTAAGTCAAGGTGTCTTGAAAGAAATTCATTATTTGCCAAGATATAACTACATCAACTGTACAAGGAATTTTTTTTTAAAAAAAATCAGCAAATCTAAAATGCTAGGTCCCTTCAAGTTCCCATGTCAAATCTTGGTTATCTAAGGTTCTCGTTGTGATGGTGCTAATCAATTAGGTGAAGCCCCTGTCCACAAGGCTTCACTGCAAAAACTGAATTGTGCCATCTGAAATCAATGCTTTGAAGGCACAAGCACAACACTTCATGAAATTCTGGCCCTGTATGTTTTTCAGAATGCATATAGATTGGGGTCCAACCTCGTCCACTTGTGATGTTTCCTTTTCCTAATCTGCCAAGTGGGTATGTAATCTCTGGATGAACACCAAAAACTGGCTTTCATTGGGCAGTTATGGAGTGTCAAGGACAGGACTATCATCATTCTGAATTCTGACTGATCTTTGAAGCACTTTTTTTGCTTGGTTCCTTGATTGGAAAGCTTAACATACAGTCGCCTTATAGGGAGACACAAAAAATAATCTATCGATCCTTTGGTAATGCGTCATACTTGTATGTCCTCTATTCTCCTGATTGCTTCTTTCATGTTCATCCTCTTATCTTGATCGCTTTCGGTACAAGCAGCCGCAATATGGAGAAGCTTCTCAATCTGTACAAGTGAATCTGCAGCAGCAGTTGTTAGATCTGGATCGATCAATTCCCATACCCTATTCTCAGAAATTGCTGATCGGACCCATTGCACCACATCAGTCCCACCCTTTTGGTTGCTGAGATATTGAGAGGGAAATTTCCCTGTAAGGAGTTCCAGAGTGATTATTCCGAAACAGAAAACATCACTCTTTTGAGAAACTTGCTGGTACAGAATGGCTTCTGGGGATTTATAGGCGAACAGTGATTGAACGCTTTGGGTGTTGTTTATTAGGGGATGGAAGGCATAGTCATTGAGAAGTGGCTCATAATTTGAGTCTAGGAGGACGTTGCTGGACTTGAGATTTCCATGGGGCAGCTCATATGTTGCAAACTCCGAATGAAGGAATCCCACTCCGCGGGCGATTCCCTTGATAATCTTGAGGCGAGTTGGCCAATTTAGCTTAGCATGAGAAATCCCACGATCACCTGAAGAAAAAAAATGCTTGTTTGTGGTGAATACTTAACAAGATAGCAAAAACTTATAATGTGACTAAAATTGTGATAGTAAACAGTTTTTAGGTTCGGATGAATTAGGTTGTATGCTTCAAAGATTGGAACAAAATATTCTAAGCATAAACTCAAGTTAAATTGAACATAATAAAGCAGCAAAGGAGATAATCTCATACCATGTAAGACATACAACAAGCTGCCTGTAGGAACGTAAGTAGACACCAAGAGCTTCTCCTCTTTCCTGTAATGGTACGCCAATGGCGTCAAAATATTCCGATGACTTAGTTTCCCAAGCCTCCTGATCTCACAATCAAATGAATCACTACTCAATTTATTCGTCTCTCTCAGCCTCTTCACCACAACAGACACCCCATTCGCCATCATTGCCTTGTATGCTGAACCCAATCCACCATTACCAAGCACTTCTGCGGCTGCCTTCATTAAATCCGGCAACCCAAAAAGACCCTTTTCTTCATTCACCACCACAAGATCGCCGGAAGACTTACCATGGCGCGAGCTTCTCCGACCCCGAGTCGAGTGGGACGAGTCAAGTCCTTTCCGGCTAGGGCTCATGCTCCTTCTGTTAGAACTTGGTATGTGCACATGAACAACATCATCTAGGTTCTCTTTTCTCAGCATGTCGAAATCATCGTCCTTACGCTTCGCTTTAGAAAGTAGTGTAAACAATAAAACAGCAACTATTAAACCTAACACAACCCACTTTGCGTTTGAAATGTTCGATTCTTTGGGCATGTTTTCTGGGGATGAAACTTGGGGATTCTCTTCTTGGACTAATGGCTCTTTGTTATTGCAATCTTTTCCCGCTTGTTTACCACATAGGTCTGGATTTCCTATGAATGAATCTGCACTAAATCTTGACAGACTTTCAGGGATTTCACCTTCCAATTTGTTGTTTGATAAGTTCAATGAAGTTAAAGATTGTTGTTCAATGGGTGGAATAGGTCCTGAAAATTCATTGAATTCTAAGTGCAAATCCAAGAGATGGGGTATTTTTCCTATTGAATCCGGAATTTTCCCGGAAAATTTGTTTGCTGAAAGCCGAAGTTTCTTCAAAGACCTCGTATTGGAGAAGAAATCCGATGGGATTTCGCCGGAAAACTGATTTCTAGATAAAAAAATAGCCTTCAAAGAACCTAGCCGATTAAATTCCGGTATTGGACCAGAAAAAGAGTTATTCTCGACACTAATTATTCTAATGCTTCTAAGATCACTCAATGCATCAACATTGAACCCGCCGGAAAGGCCAAAATTGGCGAGATTGAGGTTTGTGACAACGCCATTTAGGCATATAACACCAGCCCATCCCTCATTGTTGTCGCATGGATTCGTACCTTTTTTCCAAGAATCAACAGCAGTGGTGTTGTTGAACGATTCTTTGAGTTGGAGTAGGGCAACGTCGTTGGGTTTGGTGTTGAGGAGGGAGAAAGAAAGAGGACAGAGAGTCAGGAAAATGAAGAAGAGGAAGAGGTGGTGGGTGAGAAGGGCCAGAAGGCGAACAGCGGCCATGTAATATTGCCGGAAATCTGGCACCTCCGGGGAAATATGTGCCGCTGTTCGGAGAAATTGGAATTCTCTTTATCTTTTCTTGGAAGGTGATGGTTCGTCTGGTTTTGTGTTATTCTGGGTTTGTAATGGTGTTTCATGCTGTGGTGTGACTTGGGTTGGGAGAGATTGTTGATGGATGCTGGCAACCCCAAATGCCGAGACTCTAAGAATAGATAGACACTTTTGGGGTTAGGAGTGGAGAGAGAGACCCATGCATTGACCTTGTCAGCGTCACTAGAACCTTTATCGGAAAACTAGCAATAACTTCTCCTCTACGACCAATTTTCCATTTGTAATATCATAAAGGTTAAATTACATTCGAACCCTAATATTTAATTTTATTATACAGACACCTCCTTATATTTTAGAAATGACACTGAGACCCTATTAAATGGATGCCGTTAACGACATTAACAAAAAAACCATTTAATTCTTAATTTAACTAACTAACAAATTAGCAAAATCCATATCCACATTTATAACCATGATCCATGCCTAAACCCATCACCTAAGACCCATGACCCAAATACTTTTTCCCCANCACCACAAGATCGCCGGAAGACTTACCATGGCGCGAGCTTCTCCGACCCCGAGTCGAGTGGGACGAGTCAAGTCCTTTCCGGCTAGGGCTCATGCTCCTTCTGTTAGAACTTGGTATGTGCACATGAACAACATCATCTAGGTTCTCTTTTCTCAGCATGTCGAAATCATCGTCCTTACGCTTCGCTTTAGAAAGTAGTGTAAACAATAAAACAGCAACTATTAAACCTAACACAACCCACTTTGCGTTTGAAATGTTCGATTCTTTGGGCATGTTTTCTGGGGATGAAACTTGGGGATTCTCTTCTTGGACTAATGGCTCTTTGTTATTGCAATCTTTTCCCGCTTGTTTACCACATAGGTCTGGATTTCCTATGAATGAATCTGCACTAAATCTTGACAGACTTTCAGGGATTTCACCTTCCAATTTGTTGTTTGATAAGTTCAATGAAGTTAAAGATTGTTGTTCAATGGGTGGAATAGGTCCTGAAAATTCATTGAATTCTAAGTGCAAATCCAAGAGATGGGGTATTTTTCCTATTGAATCCGGAATTTTCCCGGAAAATTTGTTTGCTGAAAGCCGAAGTTTCTTCAAAGACCTCGTATTGGAGAAGAAATCCGATGGGATTTCGCCGGAAAACTGATTTCTAGATAAAAAAATAGCCTTCAAAGAACCTAGCCGATTAAATTCCGGTATTGGACCAGAAAAAGAGTTATTCTCGACACTAATTATTCTAATGCTTCTAAGATCACTCAATGCATCAACATTGAACCCGCCGGAAAGGCCAAAATTGGCGAGATTGAGGTTTGTGACAACGCCATTTAGGCATATAACACCAGCCCATCCCTCATTGTTGTCGCATGGATTCGTACCTTTTTTCCAAGAATCAACAGCAGTGGTGTTGTTGAACGATTCTTTGAGTTGGAGTAGGGCAACGTCGTTGGGTTTGGTGTTGAGGAGGGAGAAAGAAAGAGGACAGAGAGTCAGGAAAATGAAGAAGAGGAAGAGGTGGTGGGTGAGAAGGGCCAGAAGGCGAACAGCGGCCATGTAATATTGCCGGAAATCTGGCACCTCCGGGGAAATATGTGCCGCTGTTCGGAGAAATTGGAATTCTCTTTATCTTTTCTTGGAAGGTGATGGTTCGTCTGGTTTTGTGTTATTCTGGGTTTGTAATGGTGTTTCATGCTGTGGTGTGACTTGGGTTGGGAGAGATTGTTGATGGATGCTGGCAACCCCAAATGCCGAGACTCTAAGAATAGATAGACACTTTTGGGGTTAGGAGTGGAGAGAGAGACCCATGCATTGACCTTGTCAGCGTCACTAGAACCTTTATCGGAAAACTAGCAATAACTTCTCCTCTACGACCAATTTTCCATTTGTAATATCATAAAGGTTAAATTACATTCGAACCCTAATATTTAATTTTATTATACAGACACCTCCTTATATTTTAGAAATGACACTGAGACCCTATTAAATGGATGCCGTTAACGACATTAACAAAAAAACCATTTAATTCTTAATTTAACTAACTAACAAATTAGCAAAATCCATATCCACATTTATAACCATGATCCATGCCTAAACCCATCACCTAAGACCCATGACCCAAATACTTTTTCCCCATATGCTAACTCTTGTCCTCCACCCAACCCTTCTCTCTCTCTCTCTCTCTCTCTCTCACGATATAACAAACCTCCAACACTAGCGATATAATCACAACACCCCACTTTCCCACCTATTGTCACCACTACCCATCACCAACACCACTGTTGGGAGTAAATATTAAATGCAATGGTGATACTATGTTATCATTGATGACATAGTATCATCAACCAATAAAAAAATTTCAAATGGGTAAGATGAACCCTACTTGAACTTACATGACAGAAGAGTGGAGAATTATTTGCTTATAAGATAAGTTAGTTATTAATTTTTGTGGCGTCTATTTGTTTATTTTTTTAGTATTATTGGCTGATGATACCACATCACCTTACCATGTAGTATCACCGTTGTAATGAATATTTTCTCTGCTGTCAGAGATCCAATCGCAATAGTGGACTCGACCATCAATACATCCATCGGTCGGAATCCCATTAGAGATAAAGAGATCCATCAACACCACCACCTCAACCATCCAAAATCATCCCTAACACCACCCCCTGTCATCCATTGGATTTGATCTTCGATTGGCGCACGAAGGGATCTTCACCTAGGGTTTGCGACCTTTACCTCATATCTTCTCTCTCTCGGTGATGGGTGGTTCTTTACATGTTCATTCTTGACAAAACTCTATGTATGTGGGGGTGATTTGTTGTAGCAATGAATGGAGGTGGTAGTTGGTGCTGGCTTTCAATGTAGGGTTTAGGACGAGTAGTCGATAAATCATTCAAATATGGGTGTTATGGGTTTCCATTTGATGAGTTTTGGTGGTTTCAACAGTGAGGGCTTGGTTCGGAAGAGATAAGGGAGGAAGATTATAGTGGCTGTGAGATCAACTTATTATTTTTTTTTAATAAGTGAATTTGCTTCTTTTCAATAGTAATTATTAGTCAATATGAAGCAATTTAATAATTAATTTTTGTGAGTTATAATTCCAATGGTAAGTAATTATCAAAGTTGTTTAGTTGAGGAAATAAGGAAGAATTTATATATTTGAATAAATAATTAATAAATTTTAATTAACATGTTTCAATCAATTAAATAAAATTTTATTTTTAATTAGGAGGAAAAATGATGTTTTTAAAATGAACAAAAAGGGTAGAATTGATATTTCAAAAATAAGTTTAGCATTATAATCCTGTGTAGGATGACTTTAACCAAATGAGGGCATTGTGAGAATTAGAAGAAAATTCCTTGTTGATGTCAGCATTTTTCATAACATTTTTTGACGTCTGCCAAGCGGAGGGGTCTTCCTGTTTAACATTTTAATTGTCAAGCGACGTAAGTATAATTTTTAAAAGGTGAGGAAGTGTGCTTATAATAAAATCAAATGTAAAAAATTTGATTGTAATTCAAGAGGAGGCTCAAACTTGTACTCAAATGACTAAGGGCCAAATTTTATATCCTACTTTAAATTTTGATTTATTCTTATTTAAATTTGACTTTATTCACTTTTAAATTTGAATTTCTTGATTTGATTGTTTTGTATTAAATCAAACTTTTATTCAAAAAGTTTGATTTAAGATTAAAGATATTCTTAGTGTGATGTAAAAGCCTACCATGAAGCGAAAAGGGCATTTTTAATATATGTCATTTATCTAACTACCTTATCTTGGCTTTTTCAAGGTGATTATTTTGACATAAGTACAATCTTTAGCAACTGCGATTTTGTCACTCAATACCATGCATGCTACGTGTTTAACAAATTAGCAACTCTACTAATTGTGATGATACCTGATGATGCAAAATAGTAATAATAAGATATAATTAATGAACAATAAATAAAGCAATCAATGAGAATAATGTAAATATTGAGTCAACACATTGATATATAATGGTTCGATTCAGATGACCAACTCTAATATGAAAAAGGACAACGGTGGTGGGAGGTTTTATTGATAAAGTAAGGTAAATGAGAGAAAGAGCAATTGTTAGCTCTAAGAGACGTACAATAACTAAGAGAGGGAAAAGTTATGTGTGTGTAGAGAAGTATAAAGGTAGAGTTTAATGTGTTATCTTATGTAAAGAGTACTTACAATTTATAGGCACGGAACCTTGATTAAGGCAGTGACGTGAGGACAAAGATACTAATTCTCTGAGTGACTACAAAAGGTAATTACCATAAAATGTTGTCTTGATCTTCGAAAGTGGGTATCTTCCCACATATTCTAATTCTTTTTGGACTCTTTCGAACTTGGGTTGGGTCGAATTCTCGATCTAGGCTTGGTCTGTCCTTTAACTGATTTAGACATACTTGATTTATTGGACCTGTAGCAGGATTTGGGATAGCCAATACCTACAGTGGATAAGAATTAAATTCTATCTGTTGTAATTCAACTTTAATAATTAGACCATCAAGTTCAGAGTTGATATAACCAATCAACAACATTAGTCCTTTGTTTAAGTAATCGGAGCTCGGCATGATCTAGTGCAGCTTGATTATAAAGCTCAACTAAGCTGAGCTTCTCGCCTTAATAGTTCTTCTGAAGGAGAACATCTCTAGGCCACCAAACGATATTTAATCAGCTCGGTCGATGAACAAGGAAGCTCAAATATCGAGCAAGCCAACCAGGCCAAGGCATAAAGATATTGCTTCTATGATGATACCTCATTGTTTTTAGAAGGACACGTAGAACAGTGTTAGATACCTTCTCAAAATAAAATATTTTTTTTATAATTCTAATCCATTGAGGAGACCACACAATCTAAAATAAAGACAAAAGTTAGTCTCTGTATAAATAGAAGGATACCCTATGGAGGATTATTATTGAATCCTTCTGTAATAATTTTTTTCTCCAAACAATAGAAACTAGTGAGCAAGAGATTCCGTTAGAATTTCTTTGACCTAATAAACTACTGAATTCTGTGAATTGTTTTATTTTCATAAGTTATCATTTCAGGACCTATTCAACTCCATGCCTATAAAACTATTACTCACTCGTACACATACGTCCAATTTATTTTGGATTCTTCTATAACCTCTTTATTCTTGTATCTTTATTTTACGCTATCAAATTGCAATGGTATATTGTGAAAAATGGCACTACAAATTATTCTGTACTAGATGGATAAAAAACATGTACCTTCAATATCCTGTTAATATTTTTGATCAAAAACAAGTGAAGTAACTATATCATTAAGTAGGAAAATTGAGGTTACAATCAGTCAAAAATAAAGTCGTAAGCTCAAGAGGGCGAGCCTAACCAATTCGATGGGAGTGAATTGTTTAACATTGTGGTTGCGACCCAATGAGCAGCCTTGATGTAGGCTCTAAGTTTGTGTAAGAAGCTAAAATTGTTTAACCTAACATATTGTCTAATATTTTCAATAATAATACTGATTTCCTACAGGGAAACGTCTTCATTTGAGCTGAGTTCGATAATGGTGAGGCAGTCATTTATGATAGTAGCATTTGTGATCAGTTGGGCTTCCGTAAGAAGGCAAACTTGTTTTACAGCCTCAGCTTTAGAGAAAAAACTAGATACTGCAGGGAGAGTTTTTGCACAACCAAACTCAAGTTCTCCCATTTCCTTGCAAACCACCACACCACAAGCAGCCTTGGCAAAAGCAGACTTGAAAGTACCATCACAAAAAATATGAAAATCAGAACCCAGCACTGGTGGACTCGCATGCCTCACCACTGAAAAGCCCGTCTGTTCCTCTGATACTTCAACCTCGTCAATTCTGAGCTGGTCATTCTACATGGCTTGGGCATGGATGACAGTGACATAGGCATTAACCTTCTCCATATTAAAGATGAACTGCTTTCTTGCTTTCCATATAACCCAACCCATAGTAACCATTGTCCCCAGCAAGTCAAGTCTGTATTGAGTCCCCTACACCAACTGAAAAAGCATAGATGATCTTTGGGCCACTGACAAAAAAGGGTGAAACATCCCAGTGAAAATTGAGTTCCACACCAAACCAAACTCTCTTGGTGCATTCACACTCAAATAACAAGTGCTCAGTGGACTCCGGGACCATCATACAAATCTGGCATAAGAATGATGGGGAACGCCTTCTCTTAAACAGATTTTCCCTTGTGGCAAGAATGTTAAGGCAGGCTTTCCACCAAAAGTGACTGATTTTTGAAACCACTTTCATACTCCAGATGCAATGCCACAACTTGGGGTTAATATCCCGTTAATAGAAGTGCTCAAAAAATATAAACACAAGCTTAGGAGAGTTTGTCCCAACTTTATATATAAATCCATTGCTTTTTCTTTGTACAGTGACGTGGGACGGCCTTTTGTCATCTCTCACGTGACTTCCGAACTCCCAACACTAAGGATATGTTTCTTCTCCCACATCAACCCTAATGTCATATTTGGTAAGAAGCATAAAAATAAGGATAAATGAAAAATATAAAAAATACACTTTCTATCTTTCAAAAAAAAAAAAAGTAGAAATGATACACTTGTTTTCTTTTATATTTGATAAGATGGATGTAAATAAAAATGATTAATTTTTTTTTTGTCCGTGGCAAAATAAAAAATATATATTTTAATTTTTTTAAAAAAAATATAAATAAATATTTTATCATTGTATTTATATATGAAATTAATGTAAACATAATATATATATATATCAAAAAATATATAGACAAATAAGATATATTTCAACACAAATAATTAAATTTTCATCCACTTTTCTTCTAATTTTGGAGGGATTGATTTTTATGAGTTGGAAGAAAAGTTTATCTATTTACTTTTTCATCTTTTTTATTTTCTTTCATTACAAAACATGATATTTTATCTATCCCTTCAATTTTTCATCCTTCTATTTTTTCTTTCGTGTTATCAATTGAAAAATATGTCAGCCGGGAGGACCAACATCAGGCTTTGGTTTTTTCCACATTTGGTACTGTGATTGTGGGTTCAATGTCAATACAGCCCAGGTTGAACATATCAGCCCATTTGTATAATTCAACCAGAAATAAGTTTGTGGTGGTCTACAAAGTCTCCCCTGGTTGTTGTGTCTGCAATTTGGCTTATCAAGTTTTAACTACTCAAAGCCTAAATTTTCTCCATTTGCTAAACTCGGTTGTTGTTCCCTTTTTTTATTGGATTGATGGGTGGACTGGAACCAATTGTTTGTGATATCAAAGGGCAAATTGTCTCAATAGCCAAGGCTCATTTGTGACAGTACCACCCACCAAGCATAAAAAATCAACAAATTTGAAACCTTGAGAGACAAAGAAGGTTGGATTGTTTCCGGATTCTTTGGGTTAATTAAACTAATTTTTTTACCCAATTCGCTCTTGTCCGTGAGGGAAAAGATTGAATTGTGGTCGATTAAGCGTTTATAAGTCACCAAAACATTATGAGTTGCAAACGATGTGGTATTTATTTTGTTTAAAACGAGATACTAGTAACAGCAGAATCCATTAGCCCACCATGGATGGGGGACTAACCATTTTATGAGCTTTCGACCCAATTCATATTTGGGAGGTTTGTTGGCTTAATTGGGTGGGGGTTGGGGGTAGCTCACAGTGTCTTTTTCAACCGATTGTAACTCTTCACCGGTTCGCTTACTTGCTGTTGCTGGATACCCCCATTTCACCAACTTATTAACTGTTTCTTTATGTTTATCAGTACAAGTCTCCGGAAAAAAAAAAAACACTTATAATAATATCTTATTATTATAAGCAATACCAAACAAAATATCTACGTTAACAACTATCTCTGACATTTGGAAGCAATTGAAACAGAGATCGGAAACTTCAAATTCAAGAGAACCCACTGTTCCTGTTTGGTTGGTTATTATAAACCAGAAATTCAAAAATAAAAATAAAGAATTGGAATCTTCTCATCTTCTGCTTTCAAGAATAACTAATTTTAACTTCATTAAGCATAATTGAAAAAAATGATACTTAATTGGTTGGGCAGCGATTCTATTGAAATTTAATTTAAAGATCTACTTCAATGTAGTCATTGAATTAGTTGTGAGTTTCAATGTTAGAGTGAAACCCACTTCAAATTTAATGATTAAAATAGAACCCACTTAAAATCTAATGATTATATTAAATTAGATCATCATATTAGATGAGAAAAACATTTTGATTTAATTCCCCATAGTCAAAATGTACTGGTTTGACTACAATGCCCTTACCTTATTTAATGTATTAGGTTTGACTATAATGCTACTAACTTATTTTACGGAATTCTATTAAAATTAATATTAAACTTATAATTCAATTTGATAATTATATTAAAAAGTAGGGAAAGTTAATGGTATCCAAAAAAATTTTTGGTATTGTACTAAATTTTTTTTTTTTTAATAACAAAATTACACATTTGAAATGTAAAATTACACATGTTAAAGGAAGTCTCTTGATCGATCACGCAAAATTATAAGTAGTTGAGAGAAGTTTACGATCAATCTTGGGAAATCTTGATCAATCATGAAACTCCCTTTAATAAATTTTAACGAGTTGTAATTTACTCTTTAAAAATTATAAACTCAATAAGAAATCTCATGATTGATTTTGGGCAGCCATGATCAACCATTGGATTCTCTCGAGCAACTTTAACTTTTTATTTTTAGAATTATAACTTATTTTTAAAAAATTGTAACTTTCATAATTGAAAGAAATATTTAAAAATCGATTATGCATTTGCAAGTTATAACTTACACATCAAAAGATTGTAATTTTTGGTACAGTATCATTGTGTAGATCAATTTATCTTTTTGAGATGTAAAATTGATCATAATTTTAATTATTGTAATTTAATTTAATAAATAATAACTAGATCTAAATGAAATATAAGTAACCCTTTTATACTATTTATTACTTTTTGTATCTCATTTCCCTGAATATCGAAATCAAATCTTATTTTGGAAAAAAAAGAAAAAGATGTGAGATAATATCTACTATTAGCTAAGCTTATCCAATAACATGAGGAAAAAATATAGGGTGCTTATAAAGCACAATCAAATACTTAGAGTAATTTGTAGTTGGGCAGATTACTTGGTTAAACAACACGTGGTAGAATTTGATTATGGGTAGCACCAAACTTTACATGTACTGGCAGTCACTGGCCACAAAACCAACTTCCAAATCAAATCTCTCTNAAAAAAAAAAACACTTATAATAATATCTTATTATTATAAGCAATACCAAACAAAATATCTACGTTAACAACTATCTCTGACATTTGGAAGCAATTGAAACAGAGATCGGAAACTTCAAATTCAAGAGAACCCACTGTTCCTGTTTGGTTGGTTATTATAAACCAGAAATTCAAAAATAAAAATAAAGAATTGGAATCTTCTCATCTTCTGCTTTCAAGAATAACTAATTTTAACTTCATTAAGCATAATTGAAAAAAATGATACTTAATTGGTTGGGCAGCGATTCTATTGAAATTTAATTTAAAGATCTACTTCAATGTAGTCATTGAATTAGTTGTGAGTTTCAATGTTAGAGTGAAACCCACTTCAAATTTAATGATTAAAATAGAACCCACTTAAAATCTAATGATTATATTAAATTAGATCATCATATTAGATGAGAAAAACATTTTGATTTAATTCCCCATAGTCAAAATGTACTGGTTTGACTACAATGCCCTTACCTTATTTAATGTATTAGGTTTGACTATAATGCTACTAACTTATTTTACGGAATTCTATTAAAATTAATATTAAACTTATAATTCAATTTGATAATTATATTAAAAAGTAGGGAAAGTTAATGGTATCCAAAAAAATTTTTGGTATTGTACTAAATTTTTTTTTTTTTAATAACAAAATTACACATTTGAAATGTAAAATTACACATGTTAAAGGAAGTCTCTTGATCGATCACGCAAAATTATAAGTAGTTGAGAGAAGTTTACGATCAATCTTGGGAAATCTTGATCAATCATGAAACTCCCTTTAATAAATTTTAACGAGTTGTAATTTACTCTTTAAAAATTATAAACTCAATAAGAAATCTCATGATTGATTTTGGGCAGCCATGATCAACCATTGGATTCTCTCGAGCAACTTTAACTTTTTATTTTTAGAATTATAACTTATTTTTAAAAAATTGTAACTTTCATAATTGAAAGAAATATTTAAAAATCGATTATGCATTTGCAAGTTATAACTTACACATCAAAAGATTGTAATTTTTGGTACAGTATCATTGTGTAGATCAATTTATCTTTTTGAGATGTAAAATTGATCATAATTTTAATTATTGTAATTTAATTTAATAAATAATAACTAGATCTAAATGAAATATAAGTAACCCTTTTATACTATTTATTACTTTTTGTATCTCATTTCCCTGAATATCGAAATCAAATCTTATTTTGGAAAAAAAAGAAAAAGATGTGAGATAATATCTACTATTAGCTAAGCTTATCCAATAACATGAGGAAAAAATATAGGGTGCTTATAAAGCACAATCAAATACTTAGAGTAATTTGTAGTTGGGCAGATTACTTGGTTAAACAACACGTGGTAGAATTTGATTATGGGTAGCACCAAACTTTACATGTACTGGCAGTCACTGGCCACAAAACCAACTTCCAAATCAAATCTCTCTCTTCTCTTCTTTTCCTCTTCCCTTGGAATGTACTCCATCACCACTCTTCTCTCCCCCGAATACCATCTGATTCTGACCTCTTTGACACATTACTTATCACCTCTCGCCTCAAAACCCTATACCCAATTCAGATCTTCCCTTATTCTCACATCCCTATTCATTCATGTATCCAAACAACCCCAATAAACTCCCGATTCTAGCTTGACATTCCAGTCCATTGCTTCTGTCATGGTAGAGACCCTAACTACGTCGTCTTCATGGCGGTTCCACCACCACAGACTCGAACTCAAACGCTGGATACCCACTTTCTTCTCGTCGCACAGAACCCTCTTCACAGTTCTCTGGATCGTGGGCTTTGCCTCCGTTTTTCTATGGCAAAGAAACATCGTAGATGGGTTATCGATTTTCCGGCGAGATTTTCCGGTGAGGTCGATGCCGAAACTCAGGCCGGTGGCGTTTAATTTGACAGATTTTGGCGGGGTTGGTGATGGTCTTACGATTAATACGGAGGCTTTCGAGAGGGCTGTTTCGGCTATTTCGAGGCTTGGGAAAAAAGGTGGAGGACAGCTCAATGTGCCTGCTGGGCACTGGTTAACGGCGCCATTTAATCTGACTAGTCATATGACTCTGTTTCTTGCTGAAGATGCTGTTATACTCGGCATTGACGTGAGTGAGCTTTTAGCTTTGATTTTCCCTTAGTTTTGTTTTTCTAAATTTAACGAAATAAACTTGATTGGAAATTATCAGATTTGGGAAGTTAATTCTTCGTCATAATGGTTAATTTCTCTTATTTAATCATGCTGGTGACTGTATTGCTGCTTAGATACCATATCTTGATTTGTTGCTATAGAAGAGAGTGAAATTTAATATACACTTAATAAGCTTTAATATATAAATAAGGCGAGATTCAAATAAATGAACTTGCTTGAAGAGGACCTAATCTAGAAGAGGTATTTGACTATATATCTTTTCAGCAAGTCAATTAGGCCTATTACACTTATCTTTTATTTTACATTGAAGAATTAAATTCTGCTAATGGCAATTGGTGGTTCGTTTCAGATTATAATGTCCTGATTTATATGTTATAGACATGTAAAATTCATTTGGTTTCTTGTTCTTATTCAATTCATATATATATTATACATTGCAGGAATCTGTTTAACGGGGTCTTCTTATTTCTTCCCATAAGAAAAGGGTCTTGCATCTTGCTTGAAATAACCAAATTTAGAGAGTTAAATATTGGCTTGCTTATGTTATTTGTCTGTACACTTGCTCAATATTCACAACGTTGCTTTGATCTGTGGTTTAAGATGGAAGCAGGAATTTCTGCCACTAGCAATTTGTTGTGGTATATAAAGTATAAATGGTATATGTGTACCTTCTCTATCTCCTAGTTGTTGTAAAGTCTAAGCCTGGCAATCGTGTCGAGTGGAATGGTTTCGTGTCGGGTGAAACGGGTTTGTATCAAAAAATCATCCATTCATACCCCATTCGTTTATATAAACGAGTACAACTATCATACCCACACATGAATCATTTATTAGACGGGTTACCCGATACAACCCATTTGTCACTTGCTAAAGAAGAGAATATATTAGAATATTTCGAGTACACATGAAAAATCATCAACTTGCTATACATTATACATATTTGACTTGTTTACTATAACAATAAATCATGTCTGAGTAAAAAAATAATAACAAAAAATAAATATTAAATGACTACTAAATTTGAATGAGTCTAAGAGATGAGAGGTGTGAGATGAGACAAAAGCTGAGAGACCTAACTTTTTTTTAAAAAATATAGTATCACTATTAATGGGTTAAACGAGTTGAAACGAGTTTATAGGTTAAATACAAAATTGATTCATTTATTTCACGGGTCTACCGAGTTAACCCGTTAACTATCCGAACCCGTTAAACTATACCCAAACCCGCTAAATTCGTGTCAATTTCACGAGTCGTGTCTAGAATTGACAGGCCTAGTAAAGCCCATACATACTAGAATTTATTGAGAAACTTTAAGAATTGAGATAATTTTGGAAGTTTGTTCATTTTAATGTCTCTGTTGGATAGTAGAATATCTTATATACTACAAGCTTTTAGATAGAAGTTGATCGTGATTTTGGTTTATATGTAGTTGATATATAATTGGATAATGACTTTCACACATCTTATAATAGCTTCTAGAGTCTCAAAGGAGGTTCCATTGTTCCCTTTAAATGGCCCAATTATAGAACTCACAATTTCTGCAGTATTATTTCTTCAGGACTTGATCCAGCTAATCTCTTGGACCTTTCTCTTTCGTTGCTGAAATTGGTGCTTCTATGATCAGAATCATTTTGATGTTTTGAACTCTTTTCATCTCGTGGTTGCTGACGTTGATGTTCTTACACCTGTACTGTCGATTGTCTCCAAACCAGGATATATTTCACAATGCTTAGTCTGGCTGCCTTCTAACTCTTTCACTTGAAATTCACCCCACAACGATAATATCTTTCCCTTAAAGGCCATTCACATAAGCTTCCACGTGCCATTCAGAGGAGAGGTGCATTTCACCTCTAACAAGAATTTATGTAGACTCATTAGAAGGCTCATAATGTTACCTTAGATAGCTTGTGGGCTTTTGTTGTGTGTGTTAGAGTATTTATATTCTAGGTAGTTTAGGCATTTTATATTATTTTGTTGTCCTACTACATAAGGGTCTATATTGTGTATTTTAAGTTAAACAATATTACAGACTTGTTTAGTAATAATAATATTTTCTCTTTCTCCTTTCGCTTTTCTTTATTTGATCAAAGTTTACATGGTATCATAGCATGATTTCGATCCAAAATATATTGTAGTACCATAGTAATTTAGTTGGAGAAATAATATATTCTTGGATAGGACTAACATTATCTATGGGGATTTATTTTTTTAACTATTTTCTTCGACTTCTGTATTCCATATCAAGCCTAAGTAGTGCGATTAAAGGTCCTTGGTGCTGGTTTGTGTGATTTGAGGGCTAGTGATCGGTGGGTTACTGACTTTTTTTGAATAGTGCCGAAAATATTGTTCACTCTGTGAACAGTGTCGAAATTACTGTTCACGCTATGTGAATAGTATCAAAGTTATTGTTCATGCTGTGAACAATGATGGATTAGTGTCATTTTTTGTTATATTGTTGTGTAAGAAACTTCAATTTGTTATGGGTATTTGATTTGCGAAATTGCTGAGTTGATTTGTGGCGAACTTTGGATTGTTTAGCGTTGGTTATTTCTTTTGGTTCTAGTTTTTGCTCTTGGCTTCGCTGATATTATTTTTGGGTCTTGTTTTGAGTTTGAGAACAAAACTTTGAGTTTGCACCTATTTTGGACTATTGGGTTTTCGGCTATTTGATTTGGCTTAGTGCTGACTTGGGCTTCTCTCTGTTGGGCTGTTGGTTTGCTTTTCTTCTTTTCTTTGTTGGGCATTGTTGCTAGTGGTTTTTTTTGGGCAACCCCAATCCTTTGGGTTTGTTGATTTGGGCTGGTGCTGATTTGGTCTTCTCTCTGTTGGGCTGCTGGTTTGACTTTTCTTCTTTCCTTTATTGGGCTTTGTTTTGTTGGGCATTGTTGCTGGTGGTTTTTGTTGGGCAACTCCAATCCTTTGAGTTTGTTGATTTGGACTTCTCTCTGTTGAGCTGCTAGTTTGACTTTTCTTCTTTTCTTTGTTGGGTTTTGTTTTGTTGGGCATTGTTAATGGTAATTTTTGTTAGGCAACCCCAATCCTTTGGATTTGTTGATTTGAGTTTCTTTCTGTTGGGCTGGTTGTTTTGCTTTTCTTCTTTTCTTTGTTGGGCTTTGTTTTGTTGGACATTGTTGCTGATAGTTTTTGTTGGGCTTTGGTTTTCTATTGGACCCCTCATTGCTATTTGGGCATTAATTTGTTGAGCCTATACGTGAAGTTTTTGTTGAGTTTATTTTCTTTCTCTAAATCTCTGGAACTTCGTGCTTATTTTGATGCGAACTGGGCTGGAGACTCTATGGATTGCAAGTCCACTATTGGTTTTTGCCTCGTCCTTGGTGATTCTTTTATTTCGTAGAAAAGTAAGAAACAAATTGTTGTGGTTCGATTATCTGTTGAAGCTGAGTATCATACTATGGCTTTCACAACAATAGAGATAGTTTGATTGCGTTGGCTACTTTGCAGATCGTTTCTTTACGAAAACTCACATCATCGTGCGCTTTCGTATTCTTTTTTACAAACTCTTAATGTTTGATGTTACTACATCATGAGTTTTGAAGGGAGATATTAGATTATTTATATTCTAGGTAGTTTGGGCATTTTACATTGTTTTGTTGCCCTACTATATAAGGGTCTATGTTGTGTATTCTAGGTTAAGCAGTATTACAAACTTATTTAGTAATAATAATATTTTTATTTATATTCTGGGTAGTTTAGGCATTTTACATTGTTTTGTTGCCCTACTATATAAGAGCCTATATTGTGTATTCTAAGTTAAGCAGGATTGCAGACTTATTTAGCCATAATAATATTCTCTTTCTCCTTTCGCTCTTCTTTATTTGATCAAAGTTTATAGTGTGTACTTAACTTTTTGGAATGGTTAGTTTGTTCATTTCATATGGTTTGCTGCCATGTCTCAAGAACCTTTCAAATAAAAGGTACAATGGGAATTTGATGTAGATCTGTCCCAATATGTTTGAATTGGTTTATGCCTATCTAGGGGATGACTAAAACACTATGTTGCCCGAGTGGAGTTAAAAAGCATTCTAAACACTTGAATCACTTAGCATCTTTTCTTTGTGCTGCTCTTTTGAAGTTTTTTTTTCAATATATTTTGGTTGCTATAGTTTTCTCTGATGGTGTGCACCTAGAAAAGGGAGAATTATATTGTGATGTGAAAATGGTTGTTTGGCCGTCCATTCACCTCCAATTGACTGGAACTGTTGTGAGCATGGCGGGCATGGGGAACAGTTCACCCAACAGCAGCTTTTGGCAAAGTTTGGTTTTGTGCCACCAAGCTTTTATGACATAATTACAAGTGAAATTTTTTCGAGGTATTTATACAGTGGTTTTAGATCTTTGTGATGCAGATGATCTGAGAGATCAAAGTTTTTAAGAGAGGGTAACTAGCTAAGTAACTTCTTTTCCACCCCTTGTCTTAAGAAATTATCCATAGTTGTAGAATGATTAACAATGATGCTGAGAAAAAATGGGGGAGATATGTCAAGAAAAAAATGGGTTCCGCATTTTTATAAATCATTTGATTTACACAACCAAATGATACTGCAACATTTGGAGATTAAGGAAAATCAAGCTAAAGTTTCATACAATTTTTTTTGTGAATACCATGGACATGTAAACAATTGTCCAAAACATATTCTTCCGTACAGACTTTTCATTTTGGAGGTCAGTCTCATATCAGGTTTTTGCAATTGGCGGTATGCATTTGTATTAACAGTCGTATTGGTTCTTTATAACACAGGTGACATTGGATACCGCATATCAAATGAGAGAGTATTTATTATTATCATGTTGTCTATTCACTTGAACTTGCGTGTTCTCTTGTATTTAACATGATGTACTTTTTTTATGGGAACATGATATACTTTGATGTAATGTCGTCTAGGATTCAGACTTCGCATCTTCTATTAACAGAGTTTTTTGCTTATTCTTTAGTGGTTTTCTTATTTGTGTCAGGATGAGAAATACTGGCCTCTCATGCCTCCATTGCCTTCGTATGGGTATGGGAGAGAGCATCCTGGACCTCGATATGGGAGCTTGATTCATGGTCAAAATCTCAAAGATGTTGTAATTACAGGTCAGCAGTTTGGTCCTCTATACAAGTTGAAGTTCTATAAGAATCTATTTGTTATATCAAAAACCTTGAGATGAAAGTTCAGTGCAATAGATTGCAAGTTTCCTTAATTTTCCAAAATGGATTGTGCAACTCCCCTCTTAAAGTGCCTTTTGCCTTTTGACCAAGGTCCATATGAAATTGGCACGGGAGTGTACCTTTTGTACAAGGCTCTGCATTTCTCCTGGAACCAACGCCCCCCCCCCCTTTTTTTTTTCTCTTGGGAAAAACTCTTTAAGAAAAATGAAAATATAAAGAGGAGAGAGGGTATGTAGGAACGGGGTCAAGCTACGCACTTGGTGTGTTTTTTTGTACCCCTTGTTCTTAATGACATTTTGTCAAACTTTTTCTTGCTTCTTGCTTTTAGAACTAGCTTTAATATTCTTGGCTAATGGGACTCTGTAATTCCCTTTCTTGTCATACCAATGTATCACTGCTGACATTTGGATGAAATATAGCCTAGAGATCATGCCGGTTTGCAGTGGATATGGATTTAGTTTAGGTACTTGGGAAGGCCAAGATTGTAGGTGACTCGAATGTTCATAGATGTAACTGAGTACAAACTTTCTGATAATGTACTTATTTCTGATAACAGGGCATAATGGTACTATTAATGGACAGGGTCAAACATGGTGGAAGAAGTATCGCCAGAAGCTTCTCAACCACACCAGAGGTCCACTTGTGCAGATTATGTGGTCAAGTAACATCGTGTTTTCTAATATAACCTTGCGTGATTCTCCCTTTTGGACACTCCATCCATATGATTGCAAGAACGTGACAATTAAGAATGTGACAATCTTGGCTCCTATCTTTGAAGCCCCAAATACTGATGGCATAGATCCTGGTAAGTGTGTACTGGTTCACAGTTGTTTGAAGTGAATAAATAGCTACATTCTTGCATCATGAGCCTATGATGTGGACAAGGTCTTCCAGTTTACTAAGATTGTCCATTTCTAAATGGGATGGCTCCCCCAAGTAAATCAAATATAATTTGTTAGATCAAAATGCGTGGACGTTTTGAGGTTTTGCCAATCATTTCAGCAGGTGTGGGGAATATAGTGCAGATCAGAAGTTGGGTTATGTCTGATCTTTGTTACTTTATTATATAGCTCCTTCACTAGTTCTTGGAGTTTAGAAATCACCTTGTTGGGGGATGGAAATAGTTGCGTCTTGCATGAATCATTTCATTGCTATTTATTAAACACTTTCTTTTTTGGGAGTTCAAATAAAATGTACTCACTTTACTTCTTCGTGATATCTTTGTAAGAAATTCAAGTTCATGAAGTTTTTGGTGTATTGCTTACCTATATGTATGTAATCAATCACTTGGTAATTGAACTAGCTTTCTGTTTTCTTCTCTCTAAAATTGTGTAAAACAGATTCCTGCGAGGATATGGTAATTGAGGACTGTTACATAAGTGTTGGGGATGATGCAATTGCAATAAAGAGTGGTTGGGATCAATATGGGATTGCTTATGGACGGCCTTCAAAGAATATTCTGATCCGAAACCTTATAGTTCGATCTATGGTCAGGTGAGCATTCCTTTGTCCTATAGTATTATCAACTTGGTAGCACATACATTGATCCTTGCAGCAGGACAGTTCAGACAATAATTGCATTTGCAAGCAAATTAAATTTTCATGAGCAGTGCATGCAAGTTCTCGGTTGCATGGTGGGAGTTTTATTTGTGTTGCTTTGTTGATTTGACCTATCCAAACATCATAATAAAACACAGATCAAAGGTCCAGGGCCAAAACTTTCTGTCCCCAATTTGAATCAGTTGAAATATCTCTGACTACAATCTTAAGATTTTAAGTCCTTTGCCTCAATTTTTCCATATGTTGCAATATTTTATTTCTCCCATCCCACCTTTTCCTGGCAGAAAAGTGGATAAATATGTTGGAGGGAAGAGAGTTTGTGTGAAGTTTTGTCTAATCTGTCTGCCACTGTTTGTAATGAAATAAAAATGAATGACAAATTCCTCGTCGATTCTTCCCCTCCTTCCTTTTCTCTTTGGCATCTCGCCTGTTGCAATTACAACAATGTCATAACCGCTTACATGATAAGCTGTGTCCTCAAATAGTAACTCAAATTTACATTGTCTGTACTATGACAGTGCTGGCATATCAATCGGCAGTGAGATGTCTGGTGGGGTGTCAAATATCACAGTGGAGAACGTACATGTGTGGAACTCAAGGCGTGCAGTTCGGATCAAGACAGCCCCTGGAAGAGGGGGATATGTTCGCCACATAACGTATCGGAATCTAACATTTGACAATGTACGGGTTGGGATTGTCATTAAGACAGATTACAATGAACACCCTGATGAAGGGTTTGACCCCAAGGCTGCCCCAATACTAGAGGACATAACTTACACTTCAATCCACGGTGAGGGAGTTCGCGTGCCTGTTCGTATACATGGGAGTGAAGAAATTCCTGTCCAAAATGTGACTTTCCGGGATATGTCAGTGGGGATAACATACAAGAAGAAGCATATATTCCAATGTGCGTTTGTTCAGGGTCGTGTTATAGGTACGGTGTTTCCTGCTCCATGTGAGAACCTTGATCTGTATGATGAGCAAGGACAGCTTGTTAAACAATCCGTCTCCCAAAATGTGTCGGACATAGATTACGATTTTTAAAACCATGGCAGATTTTTGCATTTCCCAGGGACAGTTTTTTCAGTGAGAAATGGCGTCCGTACGGACGGTCTAACTGGGATATAAGTTTGGGTGAAGAGGCTGTTCACCCGATTCGGTTGGTCCTACTGCCCTGTTATCCATCCTTGTATATTTTTTTCTTCCTGTATTGTTCCTTCGTCTTGAAATTTCGGGCAGAGTTATTTTTTGGTTTTTCATTTGCTGAGATAAATTGGTGATGATGTGCTTAGAGGCATATATCAAAGTTGTACATGAAGTAACCACATTACAAGGAATAGGACCATGCACAATTATGAAAAGTAACAGTAATATATTATAGCTTTTTATTACAAATTAGGAAATTGTAAAGCTTCCTGTCTATAACTATTAATCGAGTTGAGTTTGTGGAGTTTGTTTTTCTAAACAAATGTTAAAAAATTATTCAAATTAGGTTGGTTTAGCCCAAATTGAGTCGAGCCCAAATTGAGTTGAGATCGGGTAGTTAGACTATTTTATATATAAATGAGATGAGAGCTATTGTCTCGTTTTGTAAGTAAGTTTAAAAAAATTGTTCAAGTTGTGTTTGTTTAAAATATAAATTTCGTTCAACTTAATTCCTTTTCGAGCCGAGTCCAAATCGAGTTTGATCTCGATTAACACCGCACGGGCAGCCCACATTCATTTTGTTATACCAAATGCCTATTACATTACTACATTGGACTTTAAATAATTTGTGTAACGATTGATGCACACTTTTTATTGTCCATCTCTCTCCAACCACCCATAGCGAGCGATAGTCTAGTTGTCTAAAGTTGAATAAGGGATGTACGCATGTGAGTGTAGTCTCCACTTCTCCTGTTAGGTTCCATTACCTAACTAAAAGCTTGTTGAATAATCTTTCGAATTTCTTCCAAGGCAGTGTTTCAACCGCACTAGTGTAGTCAGATTTATATTACGAATTTATTTTAGGTTTTAGGTGGACCTGAGGAAATTGAATAACTATCATTCAATCCCACAAATAAAGACGTCATTTTGTGTCCTCTTTAGTCAAATTTATCTTAAACAATTTATTTAATAATTTTGACATGTCCACTCATCCACCATTAGAATCTATCAAAATTTTATATCAATTTAATAATAAATTGTGTCTACACTTTTTTGTCTTACTCGCCACCTGTTATCCCACTGCCAATGCGAATACTAACCAAGATTTGTTTTTTTCTTTTAAAAAAAGAAAAAGAAAAAGAAAAAGGGTATGTGACGCTGTTTCACAAAGAGGCATTAGCGTAGTCGCGAAGGTCACGTGGTGGATAGGAAAAGTCATTTAAATGAGATGGGCGATGACCCTGTCCCTAGTTGTCCATTGTTTCGTGATGGTGAAATTTACATATCATATTATTTAAGTCTGCGTTATTATTATTTATATTGTGTTTGTGTTAATATTTATAAAAAAAAAAATATTTAATATATTTTAAGTATTAAATATTAATTTAAATTATTTATTACATATATTTAATAATTATGCTAATTTTATAATTATTCGAGTCAAATTAATATGAACGGATCAAAACTGACACTCCTCTCCATGACCCATCTCATCTCTGACAAACGCAAAACAAAGAAAGCGCCTAACCNTATAAATTTCGTTCAACTTAATTCCTTTTCGAGCCGAGTCCAAATCGAGTTTGATCTCGATTAACACCGCACGGGCAGCCCACATTCATTTTGTTATACCAAATGCCTATTACATTACTACATTGGACTTTAAATAATTTGTGTAACGATTGATGCACACTTTTTATTGTCCATCTCTCTCCAACCACCCATAGCGAGCGATAGTCTAGTTGTCTAAAGTTGAATAAGGGATGTACGCATGTGAGTGTAGTCTCCACTTCTCCTGTTAGGTTCCATTACCTAACTAAAAGCTTGTTGAATAATCTTTCGAATTTCTTCCAAGGCAGTGTTTCAACCGCACTAGTGTAGTCAGATTTATATTACGAATTTATTTTAGGTTTTAGGTGGACCTGAGGAAATTGAATAACTATCATTCAATCCCACAAATAAAGACGTCATTTTGTGTCCTCTTTAGTCAAATTTATCTTAAACAATTTATTTAATAATTTTGACATGTCCACTCATCCACCATTAGAATCTATCAAAATTTTATATCAATTTAATAATAAATTGTGTCTACACTTTTTTGTCTTACTCGCCACCTGTTATCCCACTGCCAATGCGAATACTAACCAAGATTTGTTTTTTTCTTTTAAAAAAAGAAAAAGAAAAAGAAAAAGGGTATGTGACGCTGTTTCACAAAGAGGCATTAGCGTAGTCGCGAAGGTCACGTGGTGGATAGGAAAAGTCATTTAAATGAGATGGGCGATGACCCTGTCCCTAGTTGTCCATTGTTTCGTGATGGTGAAATTTACATATCATATTATTTAAGTCTGCGTTATTATTATTTATATTGTGTTTGTGTTAATATTTATAAAAAAAAAAATATTTAATATATTTTAAGTATTAAATATTAATTTAAATTATTTATTACATATATTTAATAATTATGCTAATTTTATAATTATTCGAGTCAAATTAATATGAACGGATCAAAACTGACACTCCTCTCCATGACCCATCTCATCTCTGACAAACGCAAAACAAAGAAAGCGCCTAACCGCTCCTCCGCATGCGACAGACAGACAGGAGCATCGTTAATTAGAAAAAAAAAAAACCAAATCAATTCTGAGAAAAGAAAAAGAGAGGGCGCCGCAGTGGTCACCTGTTCCCATCACCGCATAGAAAATGCTGTCTCTCCCCCACCATTGGATCAAAAAACAAAAGTCTCACCCCCAACAACCGCTTCACATGTGCAATTCCGCGTTGCCCTCTATTCAACACTCCCCTTTCACTATTACCTACCTAAATATTCATATATTTTCTTTTAATTCAATAAAAATATAAGACGCATTTCCATCCCACAAACTTTTATTTCCACTTCATTTATCAAACTATATATTAATATCACATTTTCTATATCTACTTCATTAGTAACTATATTATTCTATACTTACATACACCCTTTTTAATAAGTAAACCCACTTTTATATTTTGTCATAATTGAGATTTCATTCTCTGTTTCTTCTCATGCACTCATAAAAAAAAAAATTCAATATAAATTTTTTCAGTGAGAAATAAGTTAATATTACTTTTCAATTTAATTCTATATTTGATTTCATATTTGTTATATGAATTTTTATTATTTTTCATATGTTTTGATATCTTTGTCAAATTTAATAATGTTTTATTTAAAACTTTTATATATATACTTTCAAATTATTTGTTCTTTTTTATCTTGTTAAAATTTTACATCTATATTTGTTATTTTTTTTGTTCAATTTTGTATCTGTTCTTAATGCTTATTTTTTTTTCATATTCGGTTTTGCATCCTTTTTGTTTTAATTTGCTTTTTTTTTCCTTGTTTCATTATTTTCTTTTTTCTTGTTTTGGTCTTTGTTTTTCTTTCTTATTTTGTTTTTTGTTCGTTCTTTTCTTTTTTCATGTTTTCGTAAATATATTTATGTATTCAGACTATTGTTTTCTTTCATTTTTTTTTACGATAACTTTTTTCATTAAAATAAGTTAATTTAACTATTAATAGAGTGTATATAACATGAGATGACCTTAGTTACTAATGGTGTAAGTATAGAAGAGGATAAACTTAACACTAATGCTATTGGGACATAATTGAAGAACATAATTTGAGGACATAATGAGTTGTTACCAATAAAATGATAGTAAAATGTATTTAATGATATGTCTTATTGCAACATTAATGAATCTATTATTGATGACAACTCATTATGTCCTCAAATTATATTTTTTAATTATGTCTCAATAGCATTGCTCTAAACTTAATAATTTGGGAATGAGAAATTAAACGTGGTAAGAATGAAAATTTTTGGTGTGGAAATAGCCCCTCCCAAAAATATATGATGTACAAAAAGTTTTAAATTTATTATTATTAATATTTTATGATCTCACGTAAATCTATTGCGTACTTAGAGTATCTCCGACTGTAAATTTGGAAATTTAAGATCGAAGGCTTAAGTGGCAATTTGACATTTTTATCTTATATTTCGATCGATATCAAAAAATTTTAAAGTAATACTTATTTAATAAAATATTAATTTTTGGCATGAGGGATGAGATATACCAAATTTGTAATATGCCAAAATTTATTTTGTCTCATTTGGCATAGCCTTTAGAGGAGGAGAGGGTGTTAAAAAGAAACATCGAAATTGCTCAGTTGAGATTTAACAATCCAGTTGGAGTTAAGTTAATATATTATTATTTAGAAAATTTACAAAATCTATAATTTAAAATTTTTTGAACCACAATGTTTCACGTCTGAATTTAGTATTTGTCTTAAAGTTCATACTCTAATTTTTTTCAATGACACATGTTGACGTATTTTGTCACTATAAAGACGTGTTTAATAAATTGTCATAGGGTCAATTAATTCTACAATAATGCTACACTTATCATTATTTGTGCACTATTTCAGCGTGGACCATTAAATTAGTGAATTTCATTAATTTAATTAAATTTTAAATAGCTAAATCATTCCATTACACAAAAATTATTAAAAACCATGAACAAAGTAATTTGGCCATTTTATAACCTTCAAAACTTGTGAGTTATTAAACTAGGTTTGCAGGAGAAAAAATGAACTGTGTCCTATTATGTAGTCAGTTTAGTTGCAATAAGTGTCTTATTAGATTAATCTCATGTTTAATCCAAATCATCTTAATCGACAAAATGTATTTAGAAAGAGGGAAAAAAAAAAGATAAAAGAAAGAAATAAATAAACGAAAACAGTTGGGGCAAAGAAGTAAATTTAGATTTGAAAAGACGAACACGTAATGTACACCGCCTTAGTGGAGTGAATGCAAATAAAACGTGTTTGAAAGGATTAGTCATTGGGATAAGCAACGGACCTGACACGATTAAAAAATCCAGATTTATAATCGGCGCGAGTCCCTAAGGGAAGCTTCAAGGAACGCGCTTAAAACCTCCCATACACTCCTCGTGCTTGAGAAAAAGATAGGCCTTCCCTCCGAAGACCGAGTCATGTTGAAGAATTCTAGTACATCTAAAAGTACATAAATCTCTCGCTCCAAGTTGATGATTCTCTGAGCTCACTCATTGTCGGTGATTGTTTGTTTCGGGGTAAAAGTTTTGCTTTTTCGATCGTCGGAAGTATGTCGGATATTGTGAATTCCGGGAGGTGTAGGTCGGCGAGAGCGACGGAGAAGTACAACTTCTCGCAGAAGTGTAGTCCGTTGAATCAGTACTTGAAAGAGAACGGAACGCTGGGAGATCTCAGCCTTGGATTGGCTCGCAATTTGGAAGCTAACGGTACGTACGCTCTCTTCTTTTCCTCATTCATTTCTATCAGTTCTGATATAAGATTTCGGTTTTTCGATAATTAGATGTCGGTGAAAAAATCACCGTCTGTTTTCAGATTTCTCCGTGAGTTGTTTGTTGCTTGTCATCAATAGGGGGAGAGAGAGATCACCAATGAGCTTTTGGTCTCATGGTCATGGTACTCCTTGTCCTTGACTTGTGAAGGTTCGCCTTCTTGATGTCAGGGTTCATCTCCCCTTCCCCCTCCCCCTCCCCCTTTACTAAAAAAAAAAAGAAAAAGAAAAAAAAAAAAGAGAGAGATCTGATGTATAGCTTTTGTCTGCAGGGATGGCAGCCGAAGCTTTCCGTCAAAGAGCGGCTTCAACGACCAATCCGACTATGAATTTGTTCCCTCAGCATGCTGGTTTTGGCTCCACCGTTTCCAAGGAAGAACTCCCAAAGAAGGCCGATTTCAGGTTCGTTTAACTGACAATTTTGGCCATGATCTCTTTGGATTTACGTGAATGGTTTTTCTAGTAATTTGCTGTTTCTGCTAAGGGCATTGTTGTCTACAAATTAGAGTACTCCTTTAATCGTCTGAACGGAGTATCAAGATGGAAAGTGATGCTCATTTATGGTTTCAAATGTTTAAGGGATGTTGTAATAACTGATCAGTTAATGTCATGCATCTAAGGAAACTACTAGTTGTAATAAATAAACTGTATTGCAGCAACACTCTGTGCTGTTCATTTCGCTGATTGTTGTTTGTGTGATTCATAATTATGTGCCAGTGTGGACAAGTCGGAAGCAGAGACTGCTGCCCAAATGACCATATTCTACGGTGGTCAAGTCATCGTGTTCAATGATTTCCCGGCGGATAAGGCGCAAAAAATCATGCTCTTAGCCAGCAAAAGTTCACAGGATCCCGACACTTTTGCTTCTAATTTGGTCCCGAAACCAGCTGAATCTATCAATTTGATTCCCTCCACCCCAAATGTTGTACCCAATCTTGTGCAAGAACGCGTTCATGGGCCTGCTGAGCCCATAGTTTCTGGTAATTTATGTTCTTTCATGATTTCCTTGGGAGAGTATAGAAAATACGGAATGTAAAAGGGTTTTGAGTTATCTCATACAATTGTTTTCTTTGATATTGCAGATCTACCAGTTGCAAGGAAAGTTTCGCTCTCCCGGTTTCTGGAGAAGAGAAAAGATAGGTAGGCATCTGAAAAAAAAAACAAAGTGAAAGATAATTAGCTATATTCCTTAGATTATATGCCAGTCACCTGGTGAATGGAATTATTACTTGTTGATGTAGTTTTTTTTTTTCAAAAAAAAAAAAGGAGAGTCGGACTCATGTTCATCTTATATACTTTCCCATTTGAAGTGATTGATCTTTGATGATTCTGTTATGTCATTACAGGATCAACGCAAGGGCACCATACCCAACGGCAGCTACTTCTAAGTCCGGCGAAAGCAAGTCATGGATGGCCTTAGCTGGTCAATCGCCTCTGCAAATTGAGCGCCAATTTTAGGCAGCTTTGTTTTGCTTGATGAATTAGTAGCTTTACTATTTTGAATGACTCTCTATTTCAGGGGGCATTTTGATTTTAGGCTTTTACTTGGCGAGGCTCAAGTGTTAACTAGTCTGATTTTAACATATATTTGTTGTGTAACTATATTACTTGGAAATGTTCTGCTGCCTGCCTATAATCTTGACTGAAGCAAGTATATCACCATGTGTGATTCTCTCTCTGCGTTAAATGTAATATGGTTTAATTTTGTTCAGCACCACATTTTTGTTCCATGTGTATGGTCTGAAGTATTATACTTGGTTAGTACAGTGCGGGGCAGTAATAGTACTAGCTGCACTTGTACCTTTGAATAGGTTTTTTGTTCTGAATTGAAGAAAGAAAACGTCATTTTGGTATGGCATTTATCTGCTGCCTGCCTGCACGAAAGCATTTGTGGATTAAAACTATCTTCGTTGCAGGGGAACCATGTGCGTTACAAGAGCTACATGTGCATTTTAGTTTTACAATGGAATGGAATGGAATTTCAAGGTAAAGGAGTAAAATTGCTTTAGGCAGTGACATAGAAATGGGAGGTAGAATCTTAAAAATTGGCTAAAGTGAGCGTCGTGAAGACGTAAGCTGTATATTAGGTTGGGAATCTGCCTATCAGCATCTTTATCTTCGCCTCACGATAGTTGTATTGCTCAATTGGTTTGCCTTACTGCCCTTTTTTAGGCTCGAATATCTGACTCGTATCCCACTACCAAAAACATAGAAGCTTTATTTATTTATTATTTACCATGATCCACTGGATATCTCATTTCTTATTCTCTTGCGATTTAAAATATCGTATTAACACTTAATCATGACACTCTTTGGGTCTACAATGGTATATCCTGATTTATAATCAAACATGATGTATATAAAAGGCGGGTATAAGTGAATTTTAACCACTACTTCTAAGAATTGATGTGGTTTGTATAATATTCATCTTTAGTCACCATACTGCATGGCATGAAATTTCCTGACCATTGTTAGCCCTAAATATTATTCCGGTGGGGTGCTGAACAATGAATGGTGAAATCACGCGTTTTTGAAAATTGAAACACGTTAGTGTGGAGTGGCTGCTTTAGAAAAGAAAATAATATAATATAATATAGGATACGTTGGTTTCGAATATAAAATTTAAGTGATATAAGATTTTATATTCATTTCACTCTAATTCAATAGTATATTATATCCGGTGTTAAATTATAATCTCATCTTTTTCTTTGTTTGTTTATGACAAATATTATCTGTGTAATACTTATATAAAAAAGTTAACAATTGTGACTAACTAATGTAAAAGATAATTTTAACCTTTAAAAAATTAAAAATTGCGGCTAGACTTTTATATGGGAATGGTATCGGAGGGCATTTCGGATTTTTTAGTTTATAATATCTATACCAAGAATATAATATCATCCCTAGTTGGTATTCATTAAGACTTTCTATAAGGCATTATGACTATTGTTCATAGCGTGTCGATATTACAACCTGAAAAATAGTACTGAATATAAAATATCAAATAAATAATACATAAGATAAGTCTCACGTACTATTTTTTTAATACCATCCTTTTATATTATTCTAATACTCAAAACAAACAACCACAAAAAATATACGTCTTTAGAAATCCACGCGAGATGAGTTATTTAATAGGCAATGTATGTAGACATGGGCCACACGGCATGTCTAGCGGTAGGAAAGAGTTTGGTGTTTATGTGCATCTACGCTCACGTCCACGCCCATGCTTAACTATAGAAGTCTTTATGATTATTGTCACGTGTTCACACCTTATCTTCTTATTATTAATTTATTGCAATAATAATGTTAGATTAACTAAAAAATAAGACTATAAATAGAACTCAAACGATGTGACAATTGACATGTTAAGTAAATTTTAAATATTAAATAAATAATAATAGTACAAAAAACATTGTTATTGCACTACCACATCATTTAGTTCACATTTTAAAAATTTATTATTGTCAATATAACATTCACTCAGTAACATAATTGACCACACTTGCCATGTGAAGTGGGTTGGTGAAGGGTTCACCTTTTTGACCCATTCTTCATATCAAATACCTACATCTACGTAGAACTTTTTTATTGCCATTATCGTGTTGCTTGTTCTAATGTGTACATTTCAAATCAATTTTTTTTTTTATTTTTTTTGGGGGAGGGGGAGAAGAAAAGGGGTTCGAACCCTTGACCTTAAAAAAAATAAAATTTTCATAAAATAAGGAATACCATTGAATTAAAGATCCGTTAATATACCGTCCAAATCAATATCATGAACTTTAATTAAATAAGTGGATCTCATTTACCAATAGGCTGTATAGCTTATTTTTTATTGGAGAATGATAGATGATGAAAAAAAGAGACTCCAAAAAGAAACAAATGATAAAGCACTGATATAGTGGAGTACATGGTCTTATGGTTTTATTTAAAATTCATATTTTTCTCATTATCATATGTGCGTAGTATTATCTAATTCTTTTTTTTATTCTTTTTAGCAATGCCCTTTTTCAATCGAGGGAGGGTGATACATTGGCCCGTATTTACCCAATCAAACACAACTTGTAAGTATGTAGGTCTCGATGATACACAAATCCGTATTACGTAAAATCAATAATGGAGTAAATCAAGAGACACAATTAATGAGCAGTAAATAGATAATCAATTACAAAAATGGAAAAAAGAAATAAACACTAAGATTTAACGTGGTTCGGTCCAAGTGACCTATTCTACTCTTGAAAATGACAGCAGTAACCAAATATCTTTATTGAAGAATAATATCATCGGGAGAGTAACTCTGAGAGTATTACAATGGTTTTAGAAGAGAGAGAGAGATAAAAGTGATGGGTGTAAGGTTTTCAAGAATCTATTACTAATATACCTCATTTTATCAAACTAATTTACCGATCTACAGTCGTTTTTAATTTATTTACCAAACTATCGCTGTTTTAAAAGTGGATTTGACAAATTCAACTTCATTTGGAAATCGGATATGACAAATCCGATTTCAATTAAAAAGCGGATTTGGTAAATCCGATTTCATAGGGAAAGCGGACATACCAAATTCACCTTTATATGAAAAGTGGACATACTAAATCCATCTTTATATGAAAAACAGACTTACAAATGTGTAAACCTTTATATGTATAATTGTGTTGATCGCCAAAAAAGTATTTTGTTATTTATTAAATACGTTTGGTCTCTCTGATTCTATGTGAATAAATTACTCACATTTATTAGTCCTTAAAAATCCACTAATAGATTCTATCTAAATTTATTAGTTATAATCCGCGCCTGAAAGCACGATAAAATATAAAATTTGAACATCCAAAAAATTAATTCCACTATATTAAATTTTTTCAAAATATATTAATTACAAATTAATCAAATATTAAATAATTAAATATATGATAAAAATGAGTTATTTATTTTTTAGGGAGAAAATATATAAAATCAAGAATTTTGGGTGGTATCCTAGTAAGAAAATTAGATGAAATATTAAAAAACGGGTTTGATATATCTGCTTTCTAAAAGAAATCAGATTTGGTATGTTCACTTTTCCTATAAAATCGGATTTGCCAAATTCGCTTTCCCTATAAAGTCGAATTTGTTAAATCCGCTTTTAAAATAACAATAATGTGATAAATAAGTTAAAAACGATAATAGATTGATAAATAAATTTGATAAATATGATAGATTGGTAACAGATTTAGGATCTCAAACTATAGTGGTCTCAAGGTCATCCCCTTTATGTGGAGAGGGCTTAGATATGGTGAGGCGGTGACGTGAATGAGAGAATTTTTACTATTTTAATAAGTATAATTAATGTAAAATTAGATCTATATACGTATCTCGATATCGATTTAATTGATTCGTATCGGTTAATCGTGTTGTGTGAAATTTTGACAATCCTACTGTCGACCAACCTCCTCAACCACCGCCTTCTAGAGGGAGAGGGAGAGAGAGAGAGAGAGAAAAAAAAAAAAAAAAAAAAAAAAAAAGAGGATATGCCGACTGTGAAGGAAAGCCACCGCTTCAACCATCAGTTCCACCATCCAAAACCCATCAGCTCCACCACACAAAACCCGCCACCAATACCACAACCTCCATCATCCAAAACCCACCATCAACACCACAGCCTCCACCATCCCTAAGTTCTATCTTTACCCCTAATCTTTTTCGTCATCTCTGCCCCTACCACCCATTGTTTCACCACCAAATTTGAACCACAAAAAATTAACCACAAAAATCAACCATAAATTCGATTGAGAGATAAATCACAAAAATCAAACAGTGCACCAGCCCTGTTAATGGCAGTGGGAATTTGTGCTTCAATTTGATAAAATCGATTCGAGGTTGGCGACTCACCTATTCATGTGGGTTTTACAGATTTAGAGAGAGAGAGGGGTAATAGAGCCTTTAGATCTGCGGTTTGTTGCGGGGAGGGGGCCTAAGATAGAGAGAAGGAAGGGGGTTGTGAGTGGTGGGTTTGGAGTGGTAGTGGTGGTGGAAGCTGCGTTGGGAGGGCTGGGTGTGGCGATGTGTTGCAGGAAGGGGGCGGGCATCCTGGGGGATCTGTGAAAGAGAGAGCGAGAGAGAGATAGAGAGGGAGGAGGAGGAGGAGGAGTTGCGGGTTTCAAAGAGAGAGAGAGACCGAGAGGAGAGGAGTGGTGGTGGTGGTTGTCAGGTGGTTAAGGTGTGAGTGAGATGCGAGGAGAGAGAGTTATTTTTTTAACTCATTAATTTAGTTTTTTTTTGTAATATCCTTTATTTATTACTAGTAATTGCCCGTGCCTGAAGGCACGGCGTAACGAAAAATTAGATTAAAACTCTAATTTACCATAACGTTATCATAATTTACCATACCACCACAATAATTAATACATATTCAATCATCAACACATATCCAACCACCAAAACATCAAGTTAATCCCTACTAATTTCAAGAAATTTATGCAGAATTTCTTTTAAAAATAGATATACAGAAAAATATAAACCTGTCTACAAAACTTACAATCATCACTACATACCCAAACCACCAAAACAACCATCATTCCATACCCAAAATCATCATAATTATGTATAATTAGTTAACTTTACAAAAGACGGAACACAAAAAATACACACATACACAAAATAAAGAAACAACTTCATATTCTTTACAACTTATACCAAGTATCCTTCAATGTATACCTGAAAATATTTGAAATATAAAAATTATCGAAATAAGTGAGTCAAAATAAAACAATTGTAAATCCGAAACATAAGA